CTGTATTTTGTCTCATTTCAAGTACAGAGATTTACAAGGTTTTATCAAAGTGTGATTTTCCAACAAGATGGAAATTGTGGGATATAAAAGAGTAAGAACAGAGTAATGAGATGAGTATTCAAGAATTTTAGTGACTTCCTTAGGTCTAGGTTGTAACGAGCTTGACATATAGAGAATAAAAGCTGAGAGATTTCGTGTATTAATAAATTTAGTGTAACTTAGAGAGCGCGGGTTAATAACAAGAGGTTTAGGTTTTGGACAGTGGGGTATTATCTGAGTTCATTGATAAAAGGGAGATAATTTAGTGTGTGGTGATATAAGATTAAAGAGTATTGAGTTTTGAACCACTGTGCCATACTAGCCCTCCTGAGCTCGGGTTGAGCTGTGTAACGCAAGCCTTGCCACGAAAGATAAGACAGCCCCTATAGATAGAGTGAGGGAGTGCGGTCCCAGCAGTAGTAGTAGGAGAGGTGCCATCCGTCCGTCCCCCACCCCGTTACAATATGTTAAAAAGACTATTCCAACATTTTCGCACTCGCAGTTAAAAAAATCATGACAAATTAATCTGGCCTAGTTCAAGGTACAGGCTATGTGTAATAACATCAAAAATCCCTGTAGGTGTTACTTATGGATAACCATGTATTTAAATTGTATAAACTTTGTGTTTTAATGTTCTGAAATTAGAGATTATAGTTCATACCAAAGATGCATAAGTTGCCTATGAGTCAATGTCTGTCATATGAATGTGCATAAATTAGTCAAAAAGGGAAAGTAGGAAATTTGGAACGGACATTGAATTAAAATAATGTGTATAAATTGAATGCAATATTTTTGAAGATTGATGTGTATTGTTCTTAAGCTCTAACATTTTGTTTTAAACATGTTAAACAACTACATGTATTGTCAAATTTTTTTCATATTATAAATTACTGTTTCAGATATTATCTCCAAGTTGAGTCTAAGTCTTTGAGGAGACAATGGCCTGCACAGCCAGGAATGACTCGATGGTTTTGGAGAGAGAACCTCTACAACTAAATCAAGAATCACCTGCGGAAACAAAACCCAATCACGATGAGGCAGAACAGGTAGAGTTATCTCTCCTGATAGAAAACCAGGCCCCTAAAAGCAATGGAAAAAATGTTACAAGTTACGCAATAGACCCTGCATACCACAACACCACTGAAAACCCATACAGAGAAACCACTGTGACAGTACCCCACCTCGTGAAAAAAGTCCCAGAAGATGATCTGACACCCCCACCCTGGAAAACCTTCAACCAGATTTTGATCATGTCATACGTCAGTGTATTTTTCTGTCTTTGTATTGGGGTTTTCGCCAATAGGGAGGCTTGGAAAGCTAAGATGTATAATGGGAAAGGTCTGTATGGCTTAGCCCAGAAGAGGGCCAAACGGGCAGTTATAATCAGCTACATCGCTGTAGGAGGGGGATTTATTATGATTTTACTAATTATACTTGCAGTGACAGGTGCTTTGTAAATCTCCTTTTATCCAGGATTATGGTTCACTCATTTTTTTAGTGTTATTTGTATATTGGTGCATAATTTATATTGAAGAGGCATACTTCAAAACTCGCATCCATTGGTAAAATCTTATGTTGTGTAAAGATTTACTCCAAATATTTCACGTAATGTGGCATATTGTTACAAAACATATTTATTAAAATGTGAAAATGTGTTTGTTCAATTATGTAAATGAACAAACACTTTGTTACAGTTAAAGTAGATTGAATTTTTTTTTTTTTTTAATTTCTATACCTGAAATAGGATTCATCAACATATTTTTAGTTTTTCTGATAAAATAAGAAAAGATGCAGATTTACTACATTCTGTTCTGTGAAATTCGAAATTATTTAGATCTGAAGCAATCATTAAACCTAATTTATTTGTTGATAATACTCTTAAAAAGTAGACACAAAAAGGATCCCTTGAAAATTTTATCATCATTATATACTAAGAGTATTGTTAATATTAATAAAATCTTTTTTTTCGCTTTCATGTAAAACTTTATCTGATTGGTTTTAACCACAGTATTTCATACCCATGCAATGCCTGTGTATTTTTAAAAGCTTTTTATAATCTGCCTTACAAAATTAGTTATAGATTGAAAATATAACCATACTAGTCCTTTATTTTCACCTTCAGAGCTTGCCATTTTTTCATTGTTTTGATATACGTTTATAGGGTGAGTGAGATAAGATACACATGTATTACATGTACATCATGAGCAATGTTCTTTTATTTTATTCTTTTTGTTTCATTGCAATTTTAAAGTTATTTTGTGTAACAGACAGATTGTACATGCATGTACAAGAGTTTTAATGTCATAAAAAAAGAAATGTTTTTTTAATTCTTTGATTTGTTTATTTCTGTGAAGATTTTACTCCATTACATTACTTCATAACATTCCTTATTTATTATTTGAAATGTGTGTTTATAAAAGCAATTCTAAAAACCAGTACATGTTTTGTTTTTATAAATTCAGAATTATATGAATGGAAACTGTTTCTTACACTCAGATTCAGAAGTTCAAGTATATATTTACTTAAATTTGGACCCTGGTGTAGAAATGATAAACAAAAATTCTTGATTTCTCTGTTGGTAATACTGCTGAATATTGTTCTTTTTCATAATTTTTTTTTTTAATTTCAAGGATTGGGAACTTTTTGTTTCATGTACTGGTACTTTTGATTTCATTTACTATTTTTTTTAAAAATATTTTATTAATTTTTTATTAAAGCTTAATAATACAATGATACATTGGCAATACCAGTGGTAAAAAGACAATACACTATTAATAATTGTAACACACTAGATAAGTTTTTTTAATGCAAATTTTAACTTATCCACAAAACTACTAGTATTTTAGACACAACATATTATTTCAAACTTTAAGATTTTTCTTCTTTTTACCAAGAGCTCATATTTCTATATCCACACATATCATCTTTTACAGGTAATACTGTAAAGCACATTCATTATCTGGATAATTTTGTGCAATTTTGTTTTTGTAAACCCCGGTTTTTATAAAGTGCACTGTCTTTTATAAATTGATTTACTATTTCTATAAAGTTGATAAATACTTGGGATAACCAGAGCTGATTCTGATATATCAGTTTTTATTAAAAAATTGTTAGTGTCATATACATTGGTTAACTTTAATCACTTATTGTTTATAGATCTGACACAGAAGTTAGCACAAGGTAATAATTCCTACAATTTGATACATTATTGAATTGGTTATGTGCAGACACAGTGACCATGGTGAATTCTGTGCCCCCAGTCCATGTTTTGTACATATATTTTAATTGATCTGTTACCATGAGAGATTGAACTACTAGTATTAGTTTTAATTTGTGTTAAATAAACTTTATTTTAAAGATATGACTTAACCATTTACTGCCATTGAGCAATTTTTTTATCTCGATATAAACTTGGGAGTAAGGTATAGAAAAGCCTCTTCCTGCATGTAAGCCTGTCAATTATTTCATTGTTTACTGGAATGTTATGTATTATGTAATATTTGAAAAGATTTTCTATTAAAGAAATACAATGAACATCCAAATATTTTAAAATTCTGTAATTTTATTACAAATACTGACCCTGCATTCTTAAGAAAATTGTGTATATTTGTATTTTTTCTCAATTCCTCCATGTGCTTTCATATTTCATTTTTCTTAGCATCCAAGATGAAGTAGATGCATTTAAAGGTTGTATTAATCACCTGTTCAAATGAATATAGTCTAATCCATTTGTCACTGTTCATTTCATCTTCAAAGGCATTTACCTAATCACAAATACATAATCTCATACCTGATCTGTATTTATTATAATCTCAAATATTTGCAGAAATATTGTATATTGTAATGTTGCATATTGAATGTTCACTTTAAACATTGATGTCAATCATTCAAATCCAGTCAGGATTATCATTTTTAAATCTTTTCCCATCTTTACATATGTTCCCCCCAGTGTAGGTGACACACTATGTACAAGTATAGTATACAGCCAGGAATGGAAATTCAAGAATAGTGCAATTCTATATTACATTGTTAATATGTGCATGTACATTTTAGATCTATCTTTTATTGCGTATCATGTTTTCAAAATGGAAAACAAATTGATGTTATAGCCTTAACAATAATGTTGTACAAAATATGAACCATTACTCAATTCATTCGAATAAAAAATATTTTCCTTCTGATTTCTTTATTCTTTTATCTGCAAAGGTAATTATAAAGAACAATGGACATTAAGTGTTGATGAATTATCACCAAATAATGTAGCTGTGAATATAATGCATCTGTGTTAAGTTTGAATAAGAAATATCAGGAATATTTCTTTGAGCCAAAAATAAAAATCTGGGAAAAGAAAAGTCAAGGTTAAAGGAAAGGTTAATGTTGATGAAGTTGAAAATTTCTAAATATATACATACATGTATATATCAGCATATGATGAAGTCCGATAAAAGAAATACTTGAATTTGTTTCATGCCAAATACCAAGAATTAAGGTCACGGTAAAAAAAAATGTTGATGCAGTTGAATAGCTCTTTCAGTATGTATCAGTATATTAGGGTGATATTCTTTAAAACTGACATTAATACCATTTTAAGATAAGGGGGTCAGGGTCAAGACAAGTTGATGAATAGCTTTCATAAATAAGTATCAGCATATGAAGCTTGATGAAATATCATGAATTTTGGTAGTATCCTTGAAACCTACGCTACATGTCGCTAAACACAAATTTTAGTAGAGTAAGATCATGGCCGAAAGAAAGGCCAAGGCCAAAAATGTTGATGCACTTGAATAGTTTAATATGATGTATCATATGAAATTTGATAAAATATATAACAGGTTCTTTTGAACATGACAAATGCCATATGCCTCGGCCATATTCATGGCGAGGCATAAAATCTTTGAAAACCTTCTCTAGAATAATAGTGCTTTGACAAGTGTCCTTAGAAATTTTCTTGGAAAGCCCCCCCCCCCCCCAAAATAATCACATTATATTATCAAAAAGACATGCTGTTCATCAAACAGGAAAATCATGCCTTACAAGCAAGCAGCTTAAGCTCCATTTTTCTTCCGATTTACTTGGAACACTGTGAAATTTTTCTCTGTTTTAATTATTAGATACACATCGTAACTGTCTGTACATTTCAATAACACATTTCTTTGTCATGGAAGAAAAAGAGGCACTAGGAATGTCATGGGATGGCAAAGTACCCTGAAATGAAAAATCAGTTATTTATGCCAGGCCTCAAAAACTGTGTAAGTGAATATAAATCAAAGTACTCAGAAGTACAGAGAGCCGGGCTCATTTACAGAGTAGAATGAATTTCTTACATTAATCACGTTTATATTCTGATGAAAAAATTATTTTAAAACTATCGATGTAAATGATAAGACACTGACAGTGAGTTTTTCAATCCTAATACCACGGTCCAATTTTGTCAGGATCAGAATTAATCTGGTACCGCAGCTGAATGTAAATAAACAGGCCAGTCTGGTTCCCTCTCCTGCTTTTCCTCATATATGTAGAGAACAACGATAACACCGATTATCAAAAACCCTTACGCTAATGCACTATGTTCTTTGACTTAGGACTGAAGTTTTCAAAGTCATTACTACTAATGTTTATTTATATAGATAAAACTTCGTTTTATTTTTGTTGCTTTATTAAGCTTTTCTATTATCTCAAAAGCGGTTGAGAGTAAGAACTATATTTCTGCACGTAACTTTAAAATGGCGACTATGGGGTTGACTTCCTGCCTTGAACAGGATGACATAAGCCGGCAATTGCTCTTTGAGCAATAAGCCCGGCTAAAAATAGGCATTATAAAATACTCATGCCCTTGTACTGAATAATTTTTTTTCAAGGGAAAATGAACAGTTCAGTCCTTGACTGCAAAATCTTTATTTAAAACATAATTCCTCTGAACTTCTCAGGGTTAAAAACATAGGTAATCAGAGATTACAGAGCTCACCTCAACGAATGTTGTCTTTAAGTAAGGCAAATTAAGTCACACAATTAACCAACAAAAAGTGTACATCCAAAAATGCAAAATTTATGCAATTTTGATACTTTGGAATAGACCTATATAAAA